ATACATTGTACAATACACTATTACCTCAGCTGTTTATGAATCAACCTGCATACATTGTACAATACACTATTACCTCAGCTGTTTATGAATCAACCTGCATACATTGTACAATACACTATTACCTCAGCTGTTTATGAATAAACCTACATACATTGTACACTACACTATTACTTCAGCTGTTTATGAATCAACCTGCATACATTGTACAATACACTATTACCTCAGCTGTTTATGAATAAACCTACATACATTGTACAATACACTATTGTCTTGGCTGTTCACTAACTGTATTGTTGTATAATTCCATTTATTTCTCTGTAGGATGTTCTCTAGAAGAGAAAGATTATGATGATGGAGCTGAGACAACTGTAGACTGTAATAACTGGTAAATATTGTCAAGTATAGCATTTTAATTTAGAAAGATGCAAAGATATACACAGCTTACCAATAAGTAGATATACACCTCGAGTGCAACTAATTAATAATTAGTGATCATATAAATTACTAGCCAGGATAACAACATTGTATAATATATTCATTTAGAGATATTTCTGTGTATATATATATATACATAATTTTATATTTCTTACATACAAGACTTACAATAACTTTTTAAATTTACTTAGCAAATTAAAAATAGTTTTTAATTTATTCATTATTATGAAAATAATTTATTGTAAATCTGTCACAAATAAATGATATAATGATTTAGTTTGTTTCTATAAAGCATTAACTTCAGACATTAATAATTTTTTAAGATTACATACCCTAAGTTTCCATATTTGATAACCTTCCAGTGTTTGTGCTTGTGGAAATTGGGTTTGTACGTCATCTGCTTGTGATGATGATGATGAAGATGACTCTTACGGTAAGTGAGAAAAGATGTCTCTGTTTATGGATTGATGACAATGTAACAGATCACCTTGGTTTCTGTCCAGATTAAGTCTTATTATGATCTGTTACAATGTCATCAGTTCAGAAACAAACACTAGATAAGTAAGCTGGGGTGTCCTTGGTTTCTGTCCAGGTAAAGTCTTATCGTGATCTGTTACATTGTCATCAGTTCAGAAACAAACACTAGATAAGTAAGCTGGGGTGTCTTTGGTTTCAGTCCAGGTTAAGTCTTATTATGATCTGTTACATTGTCATCAGTTCAGAAACAAACACTAGATAAGTAAGCTGGGGTGTCCTTGGTTTCTGTCCAGGTAAAGTCTTATCGACACCCCAGCTTACTTATCTAGTGTTTGTTTCTGAACTGATGACATTGTAACAGATCATGATAAGACTTAACCTGGACTGAAACCAAAGACACCCCAGCTTACTTATCTAGTGTTTGTTTCTGAACTGATGACATTGTAACAGATCATGATAAGACTTAACCTGGACTGAGACCAAAGACACCCCAGCTTACTTATCTAGTGTTCTGTGTGTTTGTCTATGGAATGATGACATTGTAACAGATCAGGACAAAACTTAATCTGGACTGAAACCCAAGACAATTTGAAACTTCAATTAAAGAACATGGCAGAACGTGACAAACTCTTTACATATCACTGAGTGGGTCATTGTACAAATACTTAAAGTAGTAAAAGTTAAAAAATGAATTAAATATAAGAGAATTATTAGAAATTGCTAAAAATAAAATGATTTTCAATATAGATTTAGGTCCTGGTGCCACAAAAGTAAATTTCTGGAAATCAATTTTGTAAATGTTGCCACTGTATTATATGTAAATCAATTTTGTAAATGTTGTCAGTGTACAATATATAAATCAATTTTGTAAATGGCACCACTGTACAATATATAAATCAATTTTGTAAATGTTGCCACTGTACAATATATAAATTAATTTTGTAAATGTTGCCACTGTACAATATGTAAATCAATTTTGTAAATAGTGTCACTGTATTATGTGTAAATCAATTTTGTAAATGTTGCCACTGTATTATGTGTAAATCAATTTTGTAAATGTTGCCACTGTACTATATGTAAATCAATTTTGTAAATAGTGCCACTGTACAATATATAAATCAATTTTGTAAATAGTGCCACTGTACAATATGTAAATCAATTTTGTAAATGGCACTGCTGTACAATATGTAAATCAATTTTGTAAATGTTGCCACTGTACAATATATAAATCAATTTTGTAAATGTTGCCACTGTACAATATATAAATCAATTTTGTAAATGTTGCCACTGTACAATATATAAATCAATTTTGTAAATGTTGTCACTGTACAATATATAAATCAATTTTGTAAATGTTGCCACTGTACAATATATAAATTAATTTTGTAGATGTTGCCACTGTACAATATGTAAATCAATTTTGTAAATAGTGTCACTGTACAATATGTAAATCAATTTTGTAAATGTTGCCACTGTATTATGTATAAATCAATTTTGTAAATGTTGCCACTGTATTATGTGTAAATCAATTTTGTAAATGTTGCCACTGTACTATATGTAAATCAATTTTGTAAATGTCGCCACTGTACAATATGTAAATTGTACATTTACTTGAGTATATAAATGAAATTTCCCGTGTTTTTCCTGTCTCCCGAAGATGGTGGAGCATGATCCACCTTAACATATAGAATTTTTTAGTTTTATATTCTTTTAACTTTAAATACGAAATTATGGTGCATTTTCAAAACTTTGCAGTCATCAACTGATTTTATTAAATCCATGCACAAGAACTGTTAGTCAAATATATTATAGCTTATTTCTCTGTTGTATTTAATTTATCCTGCCTTCCTGTATTCAAAGCCCTCTGAACCACCAACGTGTAGATTATCTGCTACAAGTAGTAATTTATTTAATTTTTTTGTTTTAATTGTAGATAAAGTATCATACAAATCCTATATTGTGCTTCATATACGTGATATTTTTACATGTAACAAAAACTTCATCTTTTCAGAGGACAATGAAGCTGCCAAAACTGAAGAATGGGACAAGTTTCTTGAAGATTTGAATATAAATAATGATAAAAGCACATGAAAAAAGTTACTTACACATTTTACATCTGTATTTGCTAAAGGAAATTTACAAGAACAGTATTTTTCCACAATTTTGTAATAAACTTACTAATTTTTATCATCTGATTTAAACATCTACTATAAAAATGTTAAACACCTGTTTACCAATAAACATAAACAAATCTACCAAATTGATACCATACTTAGTTATCAGACATTAATAACTTTCCTTCTCATAATGAATAATTAATACAGTACAAGGTTTTGTAGTCTAAATTGTTTATTATAGATAAAAATATTCGTATATATAACTGCTGTTTTAACCAAGATAGTTAAGTGCTTTTCTGAAATATAATTGCTATGGTATGTTTTTTTGAAGATTTTCTAGGCTTTTTATTGACCATTGTGTAATTCTTGATTGCTTAGAGTCTTTGTATTTGTTAATTTTTATAAAAACAAAACAGAAAAGTAAGAAAGCAAACTGTAAACCGGTAAGTCGCCATAAGTGTGCCATAAATGCTTTTAATCATGTAGTTAAACATTTTGTGTAAGTATATGTCAGTGTTTGGAGGTTTTGTATGCAAATCGAATAAATATTTGTTTTGTTTTTTTACTGTTGTCTGTTGCACTATAGTATAAATATCAAGTTGTTCTAGGCCTTATTGAGAATTTGCTGAATTGTATATTAACAAATTATTGAAGAAGATAGACAAACACTTCACATATACAGAGACTGAGTATATTATATTAAAACGAACTTGGACTCACACCAGGTCATAACAGGCCATATCACCACATCTGGTCATGTTCTATCTAATACCTGTGCATTTTGACAACAGTCTGCAGTATAGTTTCGATTTCAAAAGGCACAATCTTAAAACTGTCATATTCAAAGTACACACTTATTCCGTTCCGAGTTTCCAGAATCCACCTCGTGTACAAGGGCATAATTTTTACTCCACCCATTTCAACAGTCCAGTCGCACAGAAATCCATAAGCTCTGCATCCAGTTACTTCACCAGGATGTGTCTTTATGGAATAGCATGAATCTCCATTTTATTCTCTAACTTTTTAGGGTTTGTGAAGGTTGAACATAATATACCTAACCCTCTTTATATTTTTCATGGTACTTTTATGACAACAGAAGATCTTTAAAAAATATTTAATACTAATTTAACACAAATTTCATACTTGACATATCTATATATATAAAAAATAAATTCCATTAAAATAATACTGCGTATTTTCTGTTCTAAATAATATTACGTATTATAAAAAATTTTTGTATTCATTCAAACAATCAATTCTCATATATTTTTCTGTTTTTTATTTTCTTCTTGACATAGTCTATCCAATGTATAAAACGTATGTACACCGTACAAGGGAGACCATGAAATCTTTAGGGAACTTCGGACTTTATTGATATTCCAAATTTTGTTTCTAGTTTTTCATAAATTATCTTAAAAACGCCATTCCTACCAATTCTCGTTATATGAAACGAAATACATAACAACAAAGTAAACGTGTCTATATTATATTTTAAATCACGTTTTTATTAAGACAGATTTTAAACAGAAACTTACTGGTAAATAACACTATAGAACAATCGTCTTTATACCTATCAGTATCATACAATTCAAAAGGTAAAAACTTAAAATTGACTTTTAATATAAAAAAATTATTAAATAGAAATGAAGCAATATTTTTTTGTAAAAAATAACTGATACAGCCCAAAGGTTTTAAAACAAATTTCGTACAGGCATTTGTAGACACCAAAGTAAATAATTTTATTCCCATAAAAAATAAAATCAAAGAATAGGGTGTGAAATTCGAAGAAGGGAATTGTGTTTGAGGTTAAAATCCTTAAAATATAAGTTAAACTTTACTGCCGTCATATTACGTATAAGAGAGATAAAAACAACTTTATGTGTAAAATTTCAGATACTTTTTCATGCAGACTGGTAGTTTATATTTGCCGCTTTAATCTCAATTTGTTCACAAAATAATCGCAAGTTGTTTACAAATCACAGAGGTTAGGGTTGCAACTAACACTAAAAATACCACCGGTGACTTTTCTTAATTATAATAAGAATTACATACATGAGAAACAACTGTTTTAACACTATACTAGATTGTAGAAAACAACCATACACTGTACTAGCGGAATAAGATGTAAAGAACATGTGCGCCCTTTGCACATAGTATGCCAGTATAAATAATTGTATGCACTGTTTGTTAAGGTACTGGAGTATTTGTCTCTATTATCGTTATTAAGAAACTTACATTTTTTGAATTATTTGCAAGTATATAGGAAAAAAACAAAATTCTGGGCATACTGCAAAATAAAATATGTTCCTTAAAGGTTTTTCTTTCAACATCATTAAGCAATTGATCGATGAAGTGATAACCTGCAATTACATTTATAAATATTCTTATTATTTTCATCTCTAACTGTTAATTTTTAAAAAATAACAAATAACCAGCACCCAATTTAATAAGACTGATTGTTTTTTCGATGACGAGGAACCCACTTTGAGACTAATAATGGCTGGAGACGGCTTGAATGGGTAATGAAGAAACTTTAATACTGTTGTACATTTGTTGTACATTTGCTGTTGTATTAAAGTTTCTTCATTACCCATTCAAGCCGTCTCCAGCCATGATTGTTTTTTTGTTTTTCAGTATTATTTATAACGTTAGATTATTTCTGTCTAGAAATTATCATTAATAACAAATTTGCAGTTGGTGACCAACTTTTATATCACCTCTGTTTTAAAACTTTTTATATATTTTCAAACCTCTCCTCAAACATGTTTAATATATTTAGATAAAATTTGTGTAATAGGGTTCATATTTTTTCATTTTTTATTTTTGTTATTGATTCTCTTATATCTTATAGTGGTTGCCGAAAGATGTCAGCACTATAACTGACAGTCTTAACAGCGAGTGCATCTACTGTTTATGGTATTGCTGTACTGTTACCAACATATTAATAGTGTTTTGTTCGAAAGATTTTTAATGTTTTGTTTTTTACAAAAATATAGATATGACAATTTTACAAGATACTTTAATTATTTCAGTCAGTCAGGTAAGAAACTACGCTCTGGTATTACTATTAACTATTACTCAGTATTACTATTCATAACTATATATGAAGTGGGATTATTTAAACTAACTTACTAAGTGACGTTAAACTTTATAAACAGATTAACGAAGTATTAAAAATTAAAGTATATTTTGCTATACTTAAAAAACTTAAGTTACACATCATACTGCAGTGCTCTCTTAATTTATTCACAGATGATCAGAGCTTTGATTCGTTTGAAGAATGGGGAAGGGGGCAAATTATATATTTCATTTTCAAAATTCAAGATCTTGGAAAGAAGTAAACATTCATGTAAAAAACAAAAATGCCTCCAACTTTTGTATAATTTCATTTCTTTTAATTTATAGACATAGCTTGCATCACAGCATTAGGCTATATGTTATTTATAGCTATTAAATTTGGTATACATTTAGGTGTGTATCTATGGGACTGAAGCAAAGGTTGATTTTAGTATATAAAGGAGTGGATTCTTTGCCCCCACCTCTTGCATGAATACACCAGGTATATAGAAAGAGTCTCCCATCGGCATGTTAGTGTAATGGTTTCAAAGTTGGTAATGAAGATTCAACTTTGTGTTTGAGTATTTAGTTATATGGGGACAATTCATAATGTATTTTTTTTTTCTCCTATTCAAATATATTAAATGGGTGAATGCTTGTGTGAAACTTTTCACTGACTCAATATTGTCATGTAGTTGTAAATTTTTACATTGGGTTTCATTGAAGTAACATACAAAATATTATAAAACTCTGTAACTCTAAGGTCAGTTGTTTGAAAAATGTTTCCTCAGCATACAAAACCTTCAACAGTTTTGCTGAGTGCACTAATTTGTGGAAAGTGAATTTATGGTATTAAAATTTGGATATACTCTATTTTTATTATGGGGAGAGATATTAGTATTATAGAATTAGACTAATTTGAATGCAATAATTGAAAAGTCTCAAACATTTGGCTGAATGTTGGAAAGTGGTGAAAAAGAATAATTAGATTTATGGAATTTTTTTAAAGGAGCTTTAAGTAGAGCTGGGTGATAAGTGGAATTTGCTAGACAATTAATTTTTAGGTTAATTAATTGATTATATGCATCTGATCAACTATTTTCACATAAGAATTGGATTGTTGGAATCAGGGGTTTTCAACCTTTATGCTACCATGGAAACCTTGTTCGAAACTTTATTTGCAGTGGAACCCTATCATACATTATATTATTATTGCAGGTAAAATTGAAACATAACCTCAGATTTAAGTTATTTAATTAAATTAGTCATAGTAATGTGTATGTGTTTTAATCTGGGAGCACAATAACTGGTAATTATAAAAACAAAATATCCAAATAAATTATACTCGGGCCTTAATAGAAATATTTGTTGTTGATTACTACCTCAACTCACTGGGCTGTTTGGTGTTGGGATGAATATAAATTCTTCAATAATGCGATGGTTATTTAACTCTATATATATGGGCAAGTCAAACTGCTCATGTCACGACGTTTTAGTGAGTTACATTTGAAATTTAATTAAACTACTTATTTGTCATAGTATACAAACAAATTTGACAACAAAGTATAGATAATAAGTCAAATTTTAATATTATATAAGTTTGAAGTTCTTAATTTTATATTCCTATTCTCTATTCATTGCCTCTTCCTTAATTTATTTACCTCCCCTCCGAGAACTAGAATATTTGACATAAAATAGTCTCTATAATATCTTCTAGCTGATGTGATAGAAAATTTTTATATCCTTCAAGCTTATTTGTCTAAAGAGCAATCCAATAAAAATTCAGACCCCTCCTGTCACACCCTATATTTTACAATTTGATAACAGGTTTCCCTGACATCCACCCTAATTATATTTATAACCAATAGAAAGCCTAGATTTCAACCAATTGATCGCCATATTTTTTTATCACTTCATTGAACAGATAATTAACCTTTCGGGTTGATGAGAAAAACAATTTCCCATGAGAATACTTCGAGGAGCTCAGCTGAATTTTTAATGGTTTTTCTCACATACTTAGAGAGATAGAAAAATTGTGACAGTTACAGAACAGTCTCAGCTTTTTTTTTTTTTTATTACTACCATTACAAATTTTTTTCTTGCAGAACCCCTGAAACCAGTCTGTGAAATCCAGGTTGGAATAATAGAAATTGTAATAATCAAAAACACTAATTTAGATTAGTTGATTATTTTCATGTTTTTAATTAATTGAGTGCTTTAAATGCTAATCAATGCAATTGCTGCTCACAAGTATTTAATTAATCAATTTATCACCCATCTGTGAAGTTCAGAAGTAGAAAACTTTGCCAAGGCTTCATTTAGTGAATTGTGTTTCAGTTTCTGTCATTTTATTAGAGGCTCGGATAAACATAAAGGTTTGTTAGATAAGGTTGGGAAAGAAATCCTAAATGTTAGAGGAAATAAGAACATATTATGGAAACTTTGGTTGAGGCTGTTTATTTTTAAAAACATTTTCTTAATTAGAACTAATAACTAGTTTGCCAGATG